GGGGGGGGGGGGGTGGGTGTTTCCTGTAAGAGATGGATACTAGGCAGATACCAAAACCCTGTGCTAAAAGTTTCAGTGGAATCCTAACTGTATTAAATAATGGTAAATGCACTTGACTAAATGAGATAATTTCAGGATAGTAAAATGAATAAATAAATAAATAAATAAATAAAGCCCACAATCTTTTCTTCCGGGGAGGCACAAGCACGCCTGCAGTGTTGCCTTCTAGTTCATATATTCTGCAGATTCCCGTGCAATGTGTCAATGGAAAATGCGACGCGACTCCTCGGGGCTCTGGCCACCCGCGGAAACGCTGCCCAGAGAAAACAAGGACGGCCTGGCAGGGAGAGAGGCCCAGCCAGCACGGCAGGTCCGTCTGCGCTGCCCGACACTGAGCTGAGCCTCCATGGGAACTGTTCTCCCTGGGCAAAGGAAGCGCCGGGCTGCTCGGGGCCCCCGCACCGGGGGTGCGGAACGCATCGTGCTACTTGTAAACTGGGTGGGTGCTCTCAGAGAACCGACCTTTGCTCATGAGATCATTTATTCCTGTGCATAATATCCTGCCACGCAAGGCAATGCTGTTTTCTACACCCTTCACAAAGCAGCTCATTATAGAATTGAAGTTGTTGGTCATGAACCCGCCCAAAGAGTTTTTTGGTACAGCGAGGGGCTCTCTCCGGAGCAGAGGTCTCGGCAGGGCTGAAGACCTCTACGGGAGTCGCTGTGGCTGCATCGTGGTTTCCTTTGATGCAATCGACCTCAAAAAGTTCTGAAACCCTGCTCTTTAGGTGTTCCTTTCTTTCGCGGCCTTATTTAAAGGTCCTGACACGAGAGAAATATTCAGTGCATTTATTGAAAGAGGAAACACAACAGGACGTGGGAATTCACATAGAAAGATGTCCGGAGAAGCGAAGTCCTTCGTTTCTCTGGACTTCTTTTTATAGCAGCGTTTTCGCTAGAAAGTTGCTTGCAGGGACATAAAAGGGTGAGAAATTTGCCCTTCGACAAAACTTCCTTCGAATTACGGAGGGTTTAATGTCCTGAGAGTAAACAGTGATTCGGCTGATAACCGAGAGAAACATGGAATCACGTCTGGCTCACTTCTTAGCTGATTATGAAAGATTAATAGCAATTATGCGGTCAGAGCTAATGAACATGAACTCGTCTATGTTATCCGGTTGTTGCCGTAATTGCGGGCACCCGTTTGTCATTCCAAACCCCGTTTCCAGATACCGCCGACGATTATTAGACCGGCTACAAAGTGAGGCTGCGGGTCGGGAGGCTGCTGCGGGACCTGCAAGTATCCCGCGACAGCTCAGAGTCCGGGGACCCCCGGCACCACCTGCCCGGGCTGCTCAGCAAGGACATCCCCAGAGCCCCGGAATGGTGTTGGCACAGCGTTTCACCTCCATAGCGGCTGCCTCTCTTCTCCCATGAGCCTGAGCCTCCGTAGGGACAGTAAACCCAGCCCCAGATACATGATTTTCAGCGGCGCGGAGTTTCCCTGCCTTTCCCCCCCAAGCTGACACTTTTCCCAGCAACTTCTTGCCCTCCGCGCCCAAGAGAGAGCTAAGCGGGCAATACACAACTGCGGAGTCACTGGACTCGCTCCAGAGGGGTAGGAATTGCGGTTGAGATTGAGGTTGTGGTTGGGGCTGGAGTTGGGAGTCGTCTTCGGAGCTTTCTCCATTTCCAGCATTCGCGCTCCTGCCTTTCCATCCCGACTCAGTGTGAGAGCCGAGAGAGACGACAGAAGGATTTGCCACAGTCTTGGGAAGTCACCACGAGAACAGCCGTCAGCGTAAGCAAATTGCGTTTTAGCTAGGCTGCCTTAGCACGGCATGAGCTGCCACTGCACGGGGTAAAAAGGCAATCTAATGAGTGCCAGCTTTACCATCCTGCGCTGCACGCGGACCCCCTGCATCTTCCTAGCCGGTAGCAATATCGGGGGGGGGAGGGGGTAAAGGGGGAGTAAAGGGAGAGTTCTCCCAGGGACCACAGTTCTGTGAAGCCAGGGGACCCCTTTTCCCATATAACAAAGCCCTTCTACTCCATATATCTCCGGGAAGAAGGGAGGTGGAGAGGACGGAATACAAAGACCGTGTTGGGCTTGCAGACCCAACAGTGAACTGGAGAAGGTCTCGCTGTGGATCCGGTGAGACTCCTTTCCGTGGCTGTAAAAAAGGGCCCTTGCCCGCGGCCTCAAAAGTTCCAGTGGTACTCTGCTGGCCTTTTTGAAGCCGCGGGCAGGAGGAAGGGGGAGATGAAGGCAGCGGGGGCCGAGGTTGGTCCGGAGGGGCATCACCGCCGCT